GTCCTGTCATCTGGGGGGTGTTTTATAACACTTTAATTATTCTGTAATTGCTTTGTTCACGTCTCTCGCTTGGCAACCAAAAGCCATTTTAATTGTGCTGTTTTATCCACACAGAAGACGTGTGGGATGCGTGTTTCCCTGCATTTATTAATGGAAAGTGCCTTTAATACATTCTCGAGCTCTTCCTGTTTCCCCTCGGCTGTGCAAAAGTCAGTTCGCCGTCATGGGATAAACAGCAGGAACTTCCGCAGTAAACTTAACGAAACAACAAACCGAGCTGGACATTAGAAAGCGGTTTGAGGGAGATCTTCTGAAATGGGTCCCGGTGTGCTTCTCGTTTTAGCGGCTTCGTTCTGTGTCGTATGGACACAGTTTGTGCCTCCGGTAAGCGAGATTTCTCTAACCACACTAACACGCCGTGTTATCAAAGCTCGACTGTTGTCTGACTGCATTGTTTTCAGTGATGTTTGAACCATAAGAGACAGTGTCCTTCTCTCCAGCTTATTTAGTGCTGTTACTTTCGTGTGTTTGCAGTACACAGAAGACTGTCGGACGGACATGTATCCACCGAAAGGCCCCACGTATGTCACATTATTGTGTAGCTGTCATGTTGATGTTTTAGAGTTGTTACAGAAACTCCGTGATTCGCCTGGTAGCTGAGTCACTGCTGTGTTTGATAACAGCCCTGCTTCGTAATGAGCTCTGCTGCTTTCACTTACTCCTCGTAAATTTGTTAGCCGCACATGTACCCGTTTACAATACTTTGTATTATTTCTTTATGCAATTTTATTACTGCCATTGGCCCTAAGTGAGCTCTGGGCGAGCTTTCTTCCCTTTTTGTGTGTGTGTCTTAACTGTACACTAAAGCTAAAACTGCCAATAATGAATATACTGTAGATAGCAGGGATCAGGACAACACATATGCATCAGATACTTCACCTTTGAAACTTTATCCACAGAGTTTTAAAGATCTGGCTATAAGGGAAGTGTAAGATTTATTCTTTGCCACCATTCTTCAGTAATCAGGCCTAACAAGTTTTGATGAGGACCCCCTTAGATGTCTGCACTCCCCCACCCAGGAATTTAAAAAGACAATTCAGTTCACTAATATTTATGCAGCGCCAAGTCACAACTGCAGTCACCTAAAGGTGCTTTAATTCTAACAATCAACCTTTAGGCAAGCACTTAATGAAAGTGGGAAGGAAAAACTCCCTTTTAACAGGAAGAAACCTTTGGCAGAACCAGGCTCAGGGAGGGGAGGCCATCTTCCATTACCGGTTTGGAGTGAGGGGAGGGAGACGGGGCAAAAAAACTACTTCTTTCTAACCGAAAGAAGTAGTTTTATCCAGCCATTTATCATTTATGTCATCATATCTTCGACTAGTTTTGCACTCACTTTATTAATTCTTAACCAAGTCAGTAATGTATTAGAACTCACTTGGCTGCGATGAACAATAATGCTGTGAACGGAGGCTTACCACTAAAAGCAGGGGAGTAGTGTCGTTTTTAAATCTTTTGCTTTCTAATCAGGTTCAAAGGAGCCGTGAGCTGGTACACAGTGGACCTCGACTTACCGCCCAGCAAGAGATGGTCGGCTGTGATTACTGACAAAAAAACAGATGTAAGAGTCATTGGAAAACACTTCGCAATAATGCTGCAAGTCCCAGAAAAAAAAGCGCATTAAAATCGTGATCTTATTCTCTTCAGCTGGTCAACATGATAGAAGCCATCAAAGAGCTAGCTGACGCTTTAGTGCCGAGCGGAAAGCTGATAGAGATGGTCGACATTGCACTGGTGAGTGCTGTCTTCTCTTCTCCCACTTCCTTGATATATACTTTTTTTTTTTTTTTTTTTTTTTTAACTTCATCTCAAGTGTTTCTGATTGAATCCTTTGCAATGTTTCACAGCCTTTAATGGTGGACACACTTCCAAGCCCGTTCAATGAAGAAATCAGAGGAATCGCAGCCGCTTCAGGGGTTCCTCTTGGTAAATAAATGAATTGAAGTAAAGTAGTCAACTCTCTAGTAAGCGAAAAAGGAAATCCAAATAATCTCTGTTTTCGTCATTCTTAGGTGAAGTCGTCTTGTTTAACATCTTCTACGAGGTGTTCACCGTGTGCACGTCGATTGTTGCAGAAGACGAAAAGGGTAAGTGGGCTGATTTTTGGAGTCAGTGAAGTGATTTTTATATTTTTTTTAATAATTAACTGAAACACTGTTGGGCTTTGGCTTTTTTCAGGTAACCTCATTCATGGCAGAAACTTAGACTTTGGTCTATTTATGGGGTAAGTTTATCAGTTTCACAGGTTTCAAATTTTAAGCCAAGTCTTGCCTCCGATGGGTTAAAAGAGCATGTTCTTCTTCAAAGCTGGGACGTGAAGAACAAGTCGTGGATCATTAGCGAGAGGCTGAAGCCTCTCGTGGTCAACCTCGACTTCAAGAGAAACAACCAGACAGTCTTCAAGTCGACAAACTTTGCCGGTTATGTTGGCATGCTCACCGGCATCAAGCCTGTGAGTCATTTAGTAGCACATCTGAGGACTCAATCGGCATAAAACATTATTTAAGGCAGCAGAGTTGCCTATGCTCTTTGTAGTTGTGGAAGTACAGAAGATTAAAAGGAAAGTTTCTCTTGCAGAACATCTTCACCCTGACTATGAACGAGCGCTTCAGCCTCGACGGAGGATACATTGGTGAGCTTTTGGGGTTCTACACGTGTTCAAGATCAGATGTTTTGTCATTGTTTGTCAACGTGTTGATCTGCTCTCATGCAGGAATCCTGGAGTGGATCTTGGGACAAAGAGATGGGATGTGGATGAGCTTTCTCACTCGATCAGTCCTAGAAAATGCAACCAGGTATTCTTTGATACTTAAAGCAGATTTTTGGCCACTAATGAGCACCAAGACAGTGTGACAGTGTGCCTTTTCGTGTTAATGTGTTGAAGTGGGAGGCAGTGAAACGCTGCAGTGCCCGACTATAACAAGACAAAAGTAGATTTAAGTAGAAGATTAAGTTTTGCTGTTATTTGGTACGCAGTGCATCCACTGTTTGATACATCTTAGGGATTTCAATGGCACTGTTAGTAATAAATTAGTTTGTTCTTGTTTTTTTTTAGCGATGATCTCTCCTTTTGAGTTTTTGAAAAATAAAGCATAAGAATATCAGATTATAAATCATTGAAAGAAATCATATTAAAATGATTAGAAAATAAAATTCTTTCATTGGAAAGAAAGTTTCACTACAACATAAGAACTGAGTTAAAGCGCATTGTAGTTTCTTTGGTGAATCAGTTTCTGCGAACAATATTTATATTTTTATTTTTTCCCTCTTCAGCTACGAGGAAGCTAAAAGTCGTCTGGCTCAGACCAAGCTGCTCGCTCCAGCCTATTTCATCCTTGGAGGAAACAGCACAGGACAGGGCTGCATCATCACCAGGTCTAGGCTGCTCAGCATTGATATCTTGGAGTAAGTACTGCTGCCTAGATCAAGGCCACTTAATATTAAATGTGTGTTGAACAACACAGAACCTTGTATTCTTGGATAAAGGGATGATAGATCACCCTCATGAGGTCCTGCAAAAATCTCAGTGTAGATCTGTGGCGATTTGGTAGCTAGAGATCATAGAAAGTGATTATTTTGGTTACTTGTAAACCTTCAGGCAAGCGACTAAAGAGACTACCAGTAAGAATTGATAATACCATTGATCGATATAACTGATAAATACATTAGAGGGTCACTGAGGTACCCAGATCCTGATCTGCAAGCAATGGGCTGGCAGCTTTAAAGCAATGCGTGACAAGCGTATCGCTTCCTGTTTGTACATGGCTTAAGGCGCTAAAATCCAACACACAGCAAAAGTACTGGATCATGAGTCAGTGATGCTGCTTTCCTCATGCTCTCATGATTTGTTGCTTAACTAGCAGCTGAGGTCAGATGGTAAACAGTCCAGTTACTTGCTGTTATTGCATGTCACACACTGAAGTTTGACCAACTTGTTCCTCAGGATTGATCTGAAGCTGGGCCGGTGGTACGTCCTGGAGACAAACTACGACCACTGGAAGGACCCTTTCTTCCTGGATGACCGCAGGACTCCGGGCATGAAGTGCATGAATCAGACCACACAGGCTGTGAGTACTGAAGACGCCCACTTCCTGTCCAGAACTGACAGAATTCTGTCAGAAACCTGGCTTTAGGTCTGAGTCTCTTATCACCTTTTGATCATTTCTTTTGTTTTATTTAAATAGAACATCTCAGTGAAGACAATGTATGATGTGCTGTCAACCAAACCAGTGCTGAATAAGGTGAGCATTTTATGATTGCCGGGACTTATAAAATTAAAGACTACTGTACTTTGATCGGCTGTAACTACTTTCTCCTCCTCGATTTACTTTCTTTCCAGTTGACCACATACACGACACTGATGCAGGTCTCTGAAGGCAAGCTGGAGTCCTACATCAGGGACTGCCCAAACCCATGCATGCCGTGGTGATTCTCTAGACACTGAATCCTGATCAGTTTGGAAGTGCTTCCTGGCACAGAGACACTCAACTGATCCTTTGGATAAAACTCTAAGCTTTTTTACAGCAACCAGTCACCTGATCCAGTTTCATGTCACTCCAGCATTTGTTTTGCAAGCAGTTTAGTAATACTTTCAACTCTGAGAATCCCAAATCCTTTTTTTTCCTCTTCTAATATAAAAGAAACGTGCCTGATTTTGTTTTTCCACTGTAATTATTTGTATTTTAGGACAAGTCTATAAGTTAAGGGCTTAGGAAACGTGTGTCTGTGTGTGTGTCTGTGTGTGTGTCTGTGTGTGTGTCTGTCAATTCCAGCTCACTCTTGTCAAATACGTCAATAACAGTTAAGTTAGAGGAACTTAATGATCTGCCACCACATGACTGACATGTTACACAATGACAATGACAAATGTGCATCGGTACTGAACTACTTCCTTTTTCACTGTTTTAAATTATGACTATTAAAAGAATTCTAATAATGAATGCTCTGTTTTTAATTTAAAGGACAGTCCAACCTCTAGTGCTACTTATCCATCGAAATGGTTTTGATGTTAACTTCCCACTCTTGGAGATACTGGCTATAAACGTTGCTTCTGACTATAACTGAATTAGAGGGCCCTTAGTTCTTAAGGGCCCTCAAACCAAATTTAAAAAAAAAAAAAAAAAGCCATTTCAGGCAGGACTGTTTTGTCTTGTCTAAATCCACCAACCAGGAAAAATAAAAGACTAGATGGGCAACAGCTCAGCTCATTACATTATTACATCCTGTCACACTTTCATGAGCACAAGCCTTCCATCCATAGATGCAGACCACCTCCTGCAGAATAATACAGCTCAGTATTTCAGAGAAGGCAGACATCCTGAACTGGACAATTCATGCTCAAACAATCTGCACGAATAAACTAAAACAGGCCAGAGAAACAATATTTCTGTATGACTGGGTGAACTGTGCCTTTGATCTATTTTTTTCTCTCCAATAAATCCACTTCATGTTTTTTAGTCGGCTAAGTAGATATTTATGTTACTAACCAGTTGAAGTGGCATACCTTATATTTACCTACATTCACCAACCACTTTATAAAGTGATATATACATACATATTTTTAGATATAATTATATTTGTTCAGTAAACTATGTAGATGACAGTTCATTCAAATTTAGTGGTATCAAGAAGAAGAGCAAACAATCAATGAGCAGTAATGGAGATTTATCGTTATGATATATGTAGTGACCACATGACAAAACCATGTTTGAAAGTTCCAGCATTTTATTAATTAAAACTCATTACTGTAGCCAACATTTTAAATACATGGAAAGACTAACCATTAACTGAAACAGTATATAAAGAGGAGTGTGAAGGGACAGAAGCTGAGTTGGAGGTTAAAGGTGTGTTCAAGCTAAAGAAACATTTAGCTGAAGTCAGCTGTCATCTCTTTGTAAATAGGAACCAACTTCAGAAAAGGTGAGATGTACAGTAACAGTAAGGCCAGAGCAAGACAAATAAAACATTAAAAAAAACCAAAACAAACAAAAAAAACCAAAACATCACAACTGATATCGAACCGATCCCAGAACCATGGGAGAAAAAAAAAAATCTAAGGCGGATCTGAACAGGAGCATCAGCACTATAGCGATTCAAGCAGAGGATTAACTGTTGTGATCCAGAGCATAGAAGAAAATTCTCCGCTCCAGATTATCCATAAATCACATTAAATATTCAGGGATAAAATTAACCCAAAAGTGTTGTTGTATAGGAGTACAAGTCTTAGTATTATCTGTTGCACATGTGTTTGTTAGAGAGTCGCAAATGATTTGCAACTTTAAACTATCAGATTAAGAGTTAACAATCCTACAACCAGAACAGGTTTTAGGGTTTTAAAGTATAGTGTTGCTAAAAAACAAACAAACAAAACATCTGTATAATTCTTTAAGCATCCTGGGCAGCAGCGGTTTCTGAAAAATAAAAGAGCAAAAAAAAAAAAAAAAGGGTACAATTTACTGTCACAAAAAAAAGCTTCACAGTTTGTTTATGTATCGACTTAAAAGCTGCTCGGGTCTGTGGATGTCTGCCGAGAGACGGCGGCTTTGCTTTTGGCGAAATGTGTGACATCTGCACAAACAAAACTGCGATCTTGACTGACAGAGACTGTAATCCATACCTGGTTCCTTCAGTGCCTGCGCGTTTCCCACCAGCCCAGTCAGCAATTCAGTGTTCCCGTTGAGGATCTCTACCGACAGGTTGTTATTCTGCTGCTCCTCCACGATCCTCTTCTGCAGCTCCTCCTGGTGTTTACAGCACACAGACACATTGTACAATCAGACACCTTTTGCCACGGGGGTGGGGGTCATGCCTCGGCTTTTAAAATGCTTGCAGTTTGAATTTTAACTGAGCGTTTTTTTGTTTGTTTTTTTACTGTTAGTCTTTACGCACCTCACACATGACTGTGAGCTGTAGCGGTAAGTCGTCCACCTTAACAAAGTCGTCCTCATCAGACTTTTGGCTCGCGTTACCAGATCCCACCTCCTGAGCATAGACCCAGAAAAACAAAAAAACAAAAGCAGCAAATTAAGGTTTGACATTATTTCTACAACAGGAAGGGGAAAAAAGTCACATATAGGTCATATTTGGACTTACATCCACACTGATCATGACGGGAGAGTCTGTGTCTGGGCTGCTTGTGGTCGTTGCCTCCTTGGTGACATCCTGACCTTGGTACATGGTGGACTCCCTCTCTGAGGCAACAGCAGAAGCCCCAGCTTTGCTCTCCTCCTCGGGGCTCTGGCACTCCACCCTCTCATGCTCCTCCACTCCAGAATCCACAGTCTCAACTGACCTCACGATTTCTGCAAGACAAAGTTTGTGAGTGTGCAAAGAGAGCCCTAAAATATTCCTGACAAGTTTACTATCGCGCACTGGCCGGGATCGAATTCCGCTGATGAATACGTAGAAAAAGCCTCACCGTCATCATTCTCCGAACTCCTCTGTTCAGTTCTTATCTCTTCGGCTTCGCTGGCTGCTGTACCCTGGAGTACAACACAATTACACAGTCAGACTAAGAAGAAGCTGCTTAATAATGTAAGCTACAGCTGTTGCACACATCTCCATGGCGGACCGTGGCTGTGCTCTCCTGCTCCGCCTGTCCGTCTGCAGAAGCCTGTAAGGATGTTTGGACATCCACAGGTCCTGCTTCAAACTCCTCGATTTCCTCCTCTTCGTTCTCATCCTCCCCACTGCCATAGTTAGTCAGCGCCTGTGTCTCTGCTTTGGAGAGACCTGAAAAGCAAAAAAAAAAAAAGTGAAAATGAAACGGCAAAGGGGTCGGGGTGCAGGTTTAAGTGAGCAGCGATTCTCTGTTTTGATTCCCAGCTGGTTGGCCATTTTCCAGGTCGTTTTTACTGTTTGTTCTTGAATAAAGGCGTAAAATCCCAAAAGTATGTGCTTAAAAAAAACCTTTAAAAAGAAAAAAAGATAATGACCTTTGGGTTTAAAACTGTAAGAACATTTGAAGATTCAAAAACATTTAAACGCAATAAATTATGATTACAGATAAAGAGTAATTGAAATATTTGCACCATTTCAAGGGCACCAATCACACTGCAGATACCTTTTATTATTCTGTACTCAGGGTCTGATATCTTTCAATTTGTATGCCTTTTACTGAAGCAGCCTTTCAGATCTACTAAACAGCAGCTCATTTAACATGCAGCCTCTGTTTACCTGTTAGAGACGTGGCTGCGATTAAAGTTTTTTAGAATAATGGTGTTTATTGAGCAGCTTTGTAATTGCAGAAAACACGGCATCAGAATTAGACAGCTGCACTGAAACGACTCCACTTCAGCCAGCGAGCAGAGACACTAAATTTTCCAGAGATGTGCTCCCCCTCTGGTTTGTACCACACTGCATGATAATGAGCACACATACACCTAAAAGGTAAACTACTACTTGAAGATCAAAGAAGACCAAGAAGTGCTGACTCTCGTGGTCAGTTACCTGACCTCAAACTCCACCTGTGGGGTGGAAGAAAAGAAGGAGAAGAAAGCGGAACTTTCTTAACACGACAAGAAGATTTTCGGAGCATCGTTGGGTCATGCGGGGATAACTCAGGCCGTCACAGTTCGAGGGCTGCAGTTATTAAGTCAAAACTGAGGCGTGATCAGACATCACGAGAAAAAGTTGCCAATTTTGTGTCATAAATACTACAAAACCGAGTAAAGAGCAAGAAAGTGAGGCTGAAAGAAACCTTTAATGTAAAGTTCCTATCAGAGTGGTTATCGACCATTTCAAATCACAGGATCATAATTTGAATGTTTTTTTGTTTGCATTTTTAAATATTTAGACTCTTATCACCTCAGAAACAACCTGCCTGACAAGTAACATAATTTACTGTTTGCAAATTAAAGCAAAGGGCTGAATTCTGTTCACTGAACATTTTTAGCCTGAGGACCTAAAGTTATTCACAAGAACCGCCTTTTCTTACTCCACTTTTCACTCACTGATTGACAGAGGCACTTCCCGTCCACCTTCTTCATCCTCATTATCCTCTTCAGCCTCCGAAGCCTCACTGCTCCTGCTGTTCTTCATCTGCGTCTGCAGGTAAAGCTCCTGGGAAGCAGAGGCACCTCCCTGCTCAGCCTCATCTTGGTCCTGGAAGACAGTGAGAGACATTGTTGTTACAAAGATTAATTACTGACAGTTTCACCCAATAAAACAGTCATCGGTGTGAAGATTACCTACCTTGTCTTCATCTGTGTATGCTGGAGAAAGAGATTTATTGCCACCACCGGCTGTATTATTCTAATACGGAGGAATAAATAAACACAGCATTAAAATTAGGATCATTCAAGCTAACATTGCATTACAAATGCTTGGAGAAAGAAAACAAAAGATGTAACCTTCTGACTGTGTTTGGCTTTACTATGCTGCTCAGCCCTGTTCTTATTTTTGTGTTTGGCTGCCAAAGCGGTGCCGCTGCTGTTGTCCAAATCCTGCATGAGCCTGAAGAAGGCCAGTTCATTGAAGAGGATCTCTGAAATCTCCACGAGCAGGTCCTCCCCGCAATCCTTCAGAGTACGGCCGACAAATTTACTGAGAGAGTCCTGGAAGAAAAACAAAGAGCGAACCGTCAGACAGGCAACTTTTCATGTGATCCAGCTGCGCTTGTTGAGGCAAATTTAGAGCAAGGCTGGCATCGGTCCTACCTGCAGTATGCCTCCCAGCTGTCTGTGGAAAAAACGGACAAACTCTTTGCTCTCGTCGTTTTGCTGGGTGAGAGTGAGGACCATGCGCCGGACAGAAGTCAAGAGCTGGACGGAGCACACCTCGTCCATGTTCTCCTGTGAGAAGAAAGACGGACAGTGACGAGTCATTTTAGTCTTCAGTAACTGCTCAGAAGCGCGAACTTTACTGACAACCGAACGCACATTAGAGCAGTGTGTGGACAGCTATCATTCTCATTTCCAACTCCATATTTTATTCTTGGACT